AATTATTAAAGCAATGACCTTTTACAATCAAAACAAAACCGGTTGTACTAAAACAGGGCTAGGGTAGAAAAATATGGATTGCCTACCTCATGGCGCAGAGATTCTTTTGAGACTTGTGATCTAGAAGAATAATCATCTCGTTCATCATGGACCAACTTCATTTCTGCGACAGTCATTTCAAAAGAAAAAAGCATTACTGAAGAACGGTTGGATAAATATGTCCAATGCAGAAGGACGATAAGCCATGTAAGTATGAAGGAGAAAAAAAACAACCATGATGGAACAAAGCAAAACGAACAAGAAAATACCTCATTTCTAACGAACAAGAAAATGCCTAAAGTTAGATCATATCGAACAGGTTGGCAATAAGACAGCATAAGAACCAGGCCCACAGCGTGAGGTTCAGAGGTAAACAATAAAATCTATATATATATACAAATGATAGTTAACCCTTCAAATTATACACTCCTGCAGGAATACTTTGAATTATTTTATAGGAACTATCACCTTAGTCAGGGAATCAGCATGAAATGGTTCATAGGAGTAACTCACTTGTACTGTACTAGAATCAGGAAAATGATACATCTGTATTAGACAGACATTAGTCAATCACTAAAGTTATTCGAACACGTTTCATTTTCACGATTATTCTTCTAACTAAAATACACTGCCTTTCAAAATAACAAAAGAAAAGCCTAAGGCACAATTGTATGTGAATTTTAACATGTAAATTGGATTCAGCTTATTAATATTTTCCGAGTTCCATTCCAACATGAACCATTATTTCACTTCGAAATTACTCACTAACATAGCTCCAGGACTTCTAAATGCATTAAAAGGTTACCATATAGATTGTATGCTTCATGGACATAAAAGTTAAATGAACGATGTGATCTCAATATTTTTTTGCAAAATTATAATCATCAATCAATTCTGAAATATCCTAACCAAAAATATGATTAACCACCCTCATTACATAAGTATTATAGAGTTCCACTTTCTGCAAAAGCAGCAACAGAGGTGGTTTAGAACGAATGTCTAAGAGCTCTCCTCTGCTGCTGACTAAAACTTCATTTGCCGAAAAACATTGAAATGTACCACCCAGTATACATAATTTGGACAGCGACATAAATGTGAGGTATCATCTAAACTTATATTGAAGAACGAAAAACAAGTACATTGCAAAGCCCATCAATACTCATGAGTTAATAAATCAAACATCTGTCCAGGATAAATCAAATGTTAAAAGACGGAAATCTCAAGAAAAGATGCCATATGTGTGCTCATCCACAAATTGCCACGTTTATTTTACCAGAACGAGACGATTCTTCATTCCGAGCTCCACGATAATGGCGAACTGCACGACTTCGTTCATTGTTAACTAATTTAGGGTCAGAATCCTCCATAGCTGGAGATTTTTCTTCTTCCTCCATATTCATCAAAGGAAATCGCCTTTCTCCATGAACCTTAAACCCGCCATTTCCCTCTGATTCCCTTTTGGCGCTGGCAAGGACATCAAGACCTGTTCAAAGTTCATTTTTGGTTCATAATCGTTGTAGATAAGTTTATCATTTCATCAAACAGATATGTTTTTCATTATAGAATTTTTTCAACGAAAATAAAATCAAAATCAGAGAACTAGACATCATCAACAGGTAGTTATCTTTCCAAGTTGGATGGAACAAAATTTTCATTAGTCAAGCATGTAGTGGAAGAAAATTCATAATCAGCAATTAAATCAGCTTCATAACCATAAAAAAAGGAAACAACAAAGTGTGTTGCAAACTGCGTTTCTCCAAGGCCTCACGCATCCACCATTAGTGACGAGTAAACAGGCAGATCAGACCACAACGAAAACAAAGGCCACTGGTTCTCCATATCCTACACTAACGATAGCCTATCTAACACTCAGAAGAGTAGAAGAAGAATGGTGATGCACTATCCCTCATGTCCTTGGACGAAAATCTGTACGCCCTCTGGTGGAGCGAAAGTCATTGCCCTCCTCAAACTCAACTTCGATGAGTAGCCCCTTCTCTCAAAACCAGGATTCCCGTGTATGTGTACTGCCCACTAGAGATGAGTTCATATTGGATAAAAGCGCTTTGACTCGACAATATAAGCTTGTAGGCTGCCCCAGTAAACCTTGAAGCAAGCCCCTGAGGAGAAGTTGAGTACATTCTATAGTCTATAGTCTGCTATAAAAAAAATTAGCTTCCTTCCTTTACGCTATAAAGGTTCTACATCAAAGCATCATAAAATCTTGAAGGCTATTCCCATCTTTTGTTTCTGACGTGATTAAACATACATTTCCTACCAGGCACCAACTCTACATCGAAACAAAGTTCTCATGAGGCATTTGCAGGTTTCTAAAGCTTATATGTCTGTATTTTGATAGAAGAAAAAAAAAAAATAGAAAAAGTCCTCACTCGTCAGTTTGAAAGTGAGAGCCACAGCATGCAATAGGGACGAATGATGATGATTGGCATGAGTCGATGACAGCAATCACTTACCGAGGCTTGATTTCCTCTCGGGTGGCTTCCTGAAGACGGGCCGGTCAGTCGAATCGGGTACGTAGAGTCCCCCCTTTACATCCGTCTCAGGCCTCAGCACCGTCGACGTAGCGTCGATGCTGACGAAATCCTCAACCTGGCGCACTGGTCCGCTACCCATATCCCCCTGAATTCTCGCAAAAAGAACCCAAAACCTAAAATCAAAAGAGAATAAGAGAAAAAGAACAGCCCTGAGAGACAAAGCAGGCCACGGATACTCCCGTCCTCCATGAATCAAGATAGTTAATTCACTCACCTCTTCTGCAGGCGGAGGCCAGCGTCCAGGGGAAGAGGGGATGCCGGCAAGGAAGCAGCGAGATCGCCGCTGGGGGCGGCGGAGGCCACCCAAGCCGACGCTGAATCCCGCTAGGCAGAGAAGGGGGATCCCTCTGGGAGACGCAAATACCTACCCCGCAGAGCGGAGAGCTGCCGCAAGCCTGCCGAGGCAGCAGCGTAGGCTAGCGAGAGAGAGAGAGAGAGAGAGAGAGAGAGAGAGAGATAATCCAGCAGGGCCAACGGAGACCGCCGAGGGTCTCGGGGATTGGCGGGCTTCGGGCGGGGCTTGGCGGGGCAGAAGGGACCACCCACCCTCGGTCTCCCTCTTCCGACCAGCAAGTACCCTAATAGGTCTGCACCGCCAACCCAAGAAAGTGGACCCCAGGGTAATTTTCCATTTTTTTCTTCACTATATATATATTAATTTAAAATGATATATATCCTCGATATATATTGATAAGAAAATTTAAAATTATGCAAAAAAAGGTTGAAGTGTTTTCCCTTCAACCCCATAAAAAGTCTCCAAGTGTCATTTTTATCTAATAGCTATGGATAATTCATTATTAGCCAACATCATGCCTTTTAACAATCGACCTAACAATTATGTAGTTTTATGAGCATCATTCTCCCTAACTCCATCTATATCCCTAATATCAAATATGGCCTCAATTTTATTTTTCTTCTCCTTATGTTTATCAATTATTGCATAATAATTATGAGAACACCTTTTATTATTATTATTTGATTTATAGCCTTCTCTTGTGATGAAAAATAGGGGTGATAAAGGAATTCTTTATGGCTTTTATACTCATAGAGATGCCTCTTGGGGGGCAAGATGAGTAGAGTGCTTGCAATCTCTCTAAGAATGTAAGGTTTGGTGTTAATTAAATCTTCCAAAGAACTTTATCTAATACATATATTAAATCGCAATGAAAATATCCTTCTAGCATTTCATTCTCCATATGGGGGATACTTGGATAATAACCATTACTTAAAACATTGTTAATATCCTCTTTGATTTGACCATCTCTTTTTTTTAATATCTCTAAAGGCGTTGACCTTTTTGAACAACAATTTTCTTAGATTAGAAAGAATTTCATGTGAGATTTAGGAAGATCTAGCAAAATATTTATAAGCCCCATAAACCAAAAAAATATTATATAACACATGAAATATGGTAGGATGTAGAAGTTATCGATTATTTCAACACAAGGATTATTCAATTTCATTGGTGAATAAATTTCCTCATAACTAACATTTATGACATTTCCTACTATGCTCTCTCCTTCTCATTACCTAAACATGTCCATTGAACAGGGATCAATAAAGTTATGTGAGCACTTATAGAATCAAATGAGAGTGGGGCCTTATTGATATATAAAATGGAAATAATATGAATAATTTCGAATATTAAAGTTTCACCATAGTTTACTATGTTTGTGAACTTCAATATCACCCTCAAAACCCATAAGTGGAAAGACCTTGTTTGGTTTGACACATGAATGATGGAGAATAATAGTAAGTCAAACATGGAGAATCAAATGAGAGTGGAGCCTTATTGCTATATAAAATGGAAATAATCTGAATAATTTCGAATATTAAAGTTTCACCATAGTTTACTATGTATGTGAACTTAAATATCAGCCTCAAAACCCATAAGTGGGAAAACCTTAGTTGGTTTGACATATGAATGATGGAGAATAATAATAAGTCAAACATGGATCTTCCTCGCCATATCTGGTCGTAGTCATCACGTTATAATTGTGGCAAGTAGGCCTATTGGGGTTTCAACGCTTGGCAGCATATTTAAAGAAGAGTTGGACAGTATTTGGATCGTTACTTGGTATTTTGTCACTTATGACCCATTGTTTGAAGATATTATTAGCATTAATGATGTACTGTTGAGACGAATTTTCTCTTACAAGAATGGTTGACCCTCGTGAAAAAAAATATCGTGATGAGTCGTTGACTCTCGAAGAAGAAGAGATTCATCGGCCTCTATGAAGCGGAAAGTACGAGTAACCGTGTTAACCGTGTCAAAAGAATCGGCACTGGAGGAGCTCAATGAATTTCCCGGGCCCCCTCCTTGAGGCTTGTTCTACTTTCTGTACAAATAGAACGAGTCGGCGGCGCCGCCAGCTCGCCGCCGGAGAAACCTGGATCACCGCCGCTCTTTCAGGGGCACCGACCGCCGTTTCTGACTGGTCCGCCGGTGCAACTGGAGGCTCCGGAGCCACCGCCGCCCTTAGGCAGAAGCTGAAGCAAGCTGAAGAGCCCGCCGCTGTCGCCCCACGTCGCCGTTCTCCCCTCATGCAGCGGCCTTCCCGCCGCCACGGGCTCGGCGGTGCTCACCAGCGCCGCCAGCACCACCATGCAGAGCAAAGACAAAACCCTAACGAACTTCCTTCGATCGCAACACCCCATTATGCTCATAACAGGGGAGAGAGAGAGAGAGAGAGAGAGAGAGAGAGAGAGAGAGAGAGAGAGAGAGAGAGAGAGAGATTATAGAGGTGTGGTTTCTGCTTGACGATGGCTCTTGGTGATGGTGGGTGGAGGGTTGCTGGGGGGGGGAGAAGTTATATATAGCGCCAGGGGGGGGGTAGTTCGCGGCCGGCAGTCTTCGTTCCCGCGGGGTTGACGAGGAATGGACCGAGTTAACACCGAGACGCGTCGCCCCTCTTGAGGTCAATCTTTGACCGTTCCTCTCACGTTATAAAACCCCCGTCGGAGACTCGGCCGGGTCCAGACCGCCGATTAAACGCCCGACTCGGTGGAAAACCTCCCGACTTCCCGCCCCATGACCGCTCCATCCAATCACAATATACCACGTGTCATGGAGTGGCAGTGTTTGACCAGAAAAACACAGAGAGAAGGCGAACGCTGAAGAAGACGAAGCAGTGGGATTTCCAATAGGGAAAGGACAAGTCAGACTCGTTGACCGACTCTTCTGAAGCTGGCTGACTGCGTGTCGGGGGGCTCACGCCGTTCTCCTCCTCCTCCTCCTCACCGTCTTGCGATGCAAGACGGGTCTGCGGTCACCAGCGACCCGGCCGGCGGCGAAGGGTAGTGGTTGTCAACCAGCGGTGTCGGATCGTGGAGCGTTGACTTTCTCCTCCCTCGCGGTCTTGCACCGCAAGGAAAGTAAATTCCGTCAGCCCGTCTTGCATCACACGGAAGCGTTCCCGTCCCTGTCCCCGCGATATAGTCGGTGCCGTCTCCGTTCCCGCGCCGTCGTAGGGGCGTCCCCGTCCCGGCGCCGTCAACCACAGCGAGAGAGAGAGAGAGGGAGAGAGAGAGAGAGAGAGAGGGAGAGAGCGAGAGGGAGATGGAGACAGAGGGAGAGGATACGGAAAGAGAGAAGAGAGAGAGAGAGAGAGAGAGAAAGAGAGAGCGAGAGGGAGATGGAGACAGAGGGAGAGGATACAGAAAGAGAGGAGAGAGAGAGCGAGAGGGAGATGGAGACAGAGGGAGAGGATACAGAAAGAGAGAAGAGAGAGAGAGGGGGAGAGAGAGAGCACAGAGAGCGAGTGAGAGAGAGTAGATAACTGGACCAATGTGCCGGGGGGTGTGCAACAGGCGTAAATGGGGGAAATGGGCCTGTAATGGGCCAATATGTTTTATTGGGCCAACTGAGCACTTATGTGAAAAAAAGTGGGTTAAGTTAGCCCAAATAGATACTGTAGGTATAGTTGGCCCAATTGGGTCAGTTTAGAGAATCTTGATGTTAATGAATGGGCCAAGGTCTAATTGGGCTAAACGACCAAAATAATAATAAAAATAATATTGTTTCCGTCCAGCGCCGCCGAGTCTCGACTCGGGTGGGATTTCCCACTTCACCGAGTCGGAGTGACGTCATTTATTGTGTGAGCGACGCGTGGTACCTTGGAAGCCGTTGTTTAAGGCCTATGGACAAGGGGAGGGAGACTAAACGGTTCCCGCGGGATATCTCAACTGATTTCGATCGCCGTGGTCTTCCGCATCGCCGCCGAGAGGGAGGGAGGAGGAATCGCCCCCGCGGCGGCGCCGCCGTCGCCGGCGTTGGCTTCTCCCACGCTCTCCCCGCCCCCTCCCCCCCCCCCCCAATCCAATCCCCTTTTTCTTCAGTTCCATGGAGGCGGAGGGACGTCTCAACTGATTTCAATCGCCGTCGTCGTCATCCCCATCGCCGCCGGGAAGGAAGGAGGGAGGAAGAAAAGGCGGAGGAGCACCTCCGCGGCCGCCGGCGTTGGCGTTGACTTCTCCCATGCTCCCCCTCCCCTTTGGCTTCAGTTCCATGGAAGCGGAGGGGCTGAACCTGGCGTCGATCGGCGTGCTGATCCCCGGCCTCCCCAACGACGTCGCCGCCGCCATCCTCGCCTCCCTCCCCGTCTCCCACCACGCGCGGCTCCGCGCCACCTCCCGCGCCTGGCGAGCGATCCTCTCCACTCCGCCGCCGCTGCTCGCCTCGCGGCGGCTCCGCCGCCCCTACCACCTCCTCTGCATCTTCCCGCAGGACCCCTCCCTCGTCCCTCCCTACCTCTTCGACCCCTCCACTCTCGCATGGCTCCCTCTTCCCACCATCCCTTGCAATCCTCACTCCTACGGGCTGTCCAACTTCGTCCCCCTCTCCGTCGGTCCCCATCTGTACGTCCTCGGGGGTTCCCACTTCGACGCAAGAGCTTACCCCGTCGACCGCCCCGTGCCCTCCGCCGCCGTCCACCGCCTCGATCTCGCCAGATCCCATCTCTACTGGTGCCGCCTCCCCGATATGCTGTGGCCCCGCGGCAGCTTCGCCTGCGCCGGTGTCCGCGGCGATGGAAGGGGAATTGGGGAACAGATCATCGTCGCCGGCGGCGGATCCCGGCACACCATGTTCCCCAGCGACGGCAGCAGGGTGAACACTGTGGAGAGGTACGATGCCGGAAGTGGGGAGTGGAAGGCGGAGGCCCCCATGCCCCGCCACCGGGCAGGGTGCGTCGGGTGGGTTTGCAGAGGAAGGGAGGGGGAGGAGGAGGAGTTCTGGGTGATGGGAGGCTACGGAGATTACCGCACTCTCGGTGGGGTTTTCCGGGCGGATGTCTACTGCAGGGATGTGGTGGTGATGGGGCTGAGGAGCGGGAAATGGAGGGAGATTGGGGAGATGTGGCAAGAAGGAGAGCGGAGGAAGCTGGGACCAGTGGTCGTCGTGGAAGGAGAGAATGGAGCTGTGTCCGCGGTGTTCATGCTCGACCATAATGACATCTTCAGGTGTGTACTGCTCATTCTTGCTCTTTCTTTAAGATCAGAAATATTTCACGCCATCAAGGTTAAAATTTCTTGCCCCAGCTTATCTGTCGGTATGATTGCCTAGTAAGTAAATTCTAACGAAACATGATTGCCCTTCTGTTCATCTGAATATCATTTTTTCCACATCTGTCTCGAATTTGATCCATGGCTAAAGGTAAATGGAATGTTCCTGGTAAATGCTTGAGTGGAACAATGCTTGCTTGTGACCAGGACTACTGGGGACAGTATTATGTTCCTGGTCTAGAGTTCGATGACTGATTTCTGTGTGTTCAGCTCGCCAGCTGGACATATAACTAACACTCTTTCTAATGACGTAGACACCATAATGTCAACATCTTCAGTCCTACTCACGACACTCCCTCGTGTTTGCCCTTGGTTCTTTATCTCAATCCTGGGTAATGCAAGTTAACACTAACGCCAGTGTCTAATAAGGGTGCTCTGAAGCTTCCATGTGAAGGGTTTACCAGGCATGGTTTGAGTCTGTTCATCATAATGTTCTCATTTATATAATAAAATGCCTAAATATATATCTCATCAATAAAAAAAATCCCTCTATTTCTCATTTTTTGCTGGAGTGCCGGCCTGTCCAGGCTTGGCAGCAAGTTCTATCAACCCAATTCACATCCTTCATCGACCATAGTCTGGGTGCTGAATAGTAGCCTCATTCTTTTGGTCTTCTATATCCTTCTCCATTTACGTTCCATCAATTGAGCTTGCATAACTAAGCATAACCAATGGCAGCCAGACCCTGCCGTTCACCATTTACCAAAGATGCGAATGTTGAAGAAGGTTCCTCCTTCGGTCTCCTTTGACAGACCATTGACTCACCTGGCATCAGTACCAGTGCCCATAGGATTCCTCTGTAGCCTCATTCGGAGGAATGGTTGCCTTTACATGGCGTCTAGAATGTGTATTCATGCACCACAAATTCAAGGGAAATAATGTTCTCAAAGCTTGAAATGAATCTGACTTGCTTCTTGCTCACCTTGGTCCATCATTGATATTGAATAGTGATAGCGGTTGTCCTTTTTCTAATATTCTTCACCTTCCATCCACTGAAAAATGTTTTCTATGTTCAGATATTTACCATTTTTTTAATTTCCACCCTAATATAAGCCACTGACCATTTTTACTCCGTAGGCAAACTGTAAACGCTCTGTCAAAGGTGCTTTCTCTATAATTGCATCATTTCTAGTGCCATTCACTGTTTTCCCCTCCCATTGTGTGCTATTAGTTCTCAGTAATCTCGCCTGTCGATAACTATTTAAGGAACCCTGCCTTCTTTGTGCATGCCTTCGTCCATTGGCTTTAATCCTCTACAATTGCTTTTCTAAGGTGTATAATGCTCTGTGTCTTCTTCTTCTTCTTCTTCTTCTATTTGTTTATAAAGCCGTCTTCGTAGACAATTCCTCAAAGTATCCTTTGCTCTCCCCAAAACATTAGAAATCTCATACTTTGTTGATCTCTAGTTTTCTACAATTTTTTTTGTCCAATGTCTGATTAAGAAGATGCTGATTATTGCAAAATTTATTTATTTCGGTATTAGATTGGCTGGGAATTCCTCACCAGTTTGCATGTGCCAATCTGCTTGTTACCACACGCAGAGAAAATGGCAAGGCTAAGTGAAGAATCTTGCACATCTTTGACTCTCGATTGTCATCGTTTGCTCTGGAAACTTTTGTGAAATTTTCATTTATTAGTGCATTAGAAGGCATATCTTGCATCAATACAAAAAGCTATGACGATGCTTATTTCTTCTTTTTCTATCTACTCATTTTTTTTTTTTAAAATCTCTAGTTTTTTGTTCTAAGCATACTTTACGAGAAAAATTCCTTCATCGGGACGGTGTGCTGATGGCAGATATAATGCGGACTGCAACCGATGGGTGAAAGAGTCAACGCTGAGGAGGAGGATTCCCGTTGGGGAATCATGCGGTTTTGTTGCCATGGGGGGAGAGTTGCATGTGTTGACTCCGACAAAGCCATCTTTTGACCTGGTGGAGTTTCGAAGGCTGCCCAAGAAGAAGGCCACTCTGGAGATTCAGGTCTACAATCCTGTGGATAGAAAATGGAGGCTTCTGACAACCTCGACACCCTTCTACTCTGCTATAAATTTCAACATTGCTGCCTCATGCACCATCAAGCTATAACTCATATTCACCCTATACCTATTATAGCATATATGATGATTCCTGAAGCCATTGCAAAGATTGGCTTTGCACCATTGTTATTCAGAACCGAATGCCCCTGGCCCAAGATTTCAGCACCACCAAGCTATTATGGTAAATATGACGACTCATGTATGCATTGTACAGATCTGCTATGGTAAATATGTATATGTTAAGTAACATTGTTATCTACAAAGGAATGTCTCCGGCCTAAGATCTCAGCACCACCATGCTATTATGGTAAATATGATGACTCATGTATCCATTGTACAGATATGCTATGGAAAATATGTGTGCGTTAAGGAACATTGTGTATAGAATTGAATGTCTCTAACCTATGGTTTCAGCAGGATCAAGGCTGAGTGCAGATTTGCTGATGATACCTGAAGCCATTTGTTTATGTCAAGGAACATTGTGTAGTGTATGAATAATGAATGTATGTAAATCTTATACTTTAGGAATCTCTTTCTAATGCTATGGTTTGGCTTCTTGACATATGGTTCTTCATTGGAGTAACACATGTGCATGGAATCCTATGTCTCTTGATCTTGCACTCAGTTGGGCAATCATCTTCTAGTTCTTCATTGGAGACTGACCATCACAACTTAAGCCTTCAACATAAATATATATATATATATATATATATTAATTGATAAAAGTTTTTTCCATGTGGGCAGGATCATAAGAGTGGGATATTTTAAGTTCCTGATGCCTTTAATCTGGTCTCATAAACCTTGCAAGATTCTTGAGCAAATTCTTCTTTTGAACTTTTTTTAATAGATCAAACTCTTTGTTTTTTAGACAAATCCTTTCATTGACTTAGTCTAGATAACACACAGTGTGGAGCTCTAATAGACACCTAGCACTTGTGGAAGAAGAACTCTAACTTTATTTTTCAAAAACTATTTACAAGGAGAGTGGGATCTAATATTTATATCAGATCCCTAGAAGGTTTTAGATATATTGACATAACACAAAATGAAAGGTTTATGAAGACATATATGTAAATATGTAAGGTATACATGTTATTAAATACATCTCAACAACATTCCCCCTCAAGTTAGTGAGTGGACGTCATCCATTCCTAACTTGGAAATAATCTTCTACAGTTGTGTACTTGAGATGCCTTTAGTAACCATGTTTGTCAATTGATTATTTGTTGAAATGTATGATATATAAATCACATTGGCTTCAAGTTTCTCTTTGATGAAATGAAAACTCGTTAAGTAAGTTCATAGGACTGAATAAAGGAATTTGTAACTCGTTAAGTTCTTGACCCAAAGTAACTCACATATTCTTTGGACAAGTGCCTAAAGTTCAGCCTTAACTACATATTATTTTTTACTCTTCCATGTCATGAACAAAAGTAAGATGACTGAAGGTTGACCTTCGATCAATTGTTGAGCCTACATAATCAACATTTGTAAACATTTCAACCCTTATCTTTCTACTTCATTTACAAAGAACTCTTCATAGTGTACCTTTCAAATAATGTAGCATTTAGTAGGCAGCATGTAAATAGCACTCTTTAGGTTGATGTACAAATAACTCAATAGACTCACTACATATGAGATATTCGGTCAGAGTGTGTGTTAGATAAAGTAGTTGACCATTAAGACATTGATACATCTCACGGTCAATCAAAATTTCTTCATCTACCATACACACTTTCTGATTTGGATTAATAGGTGAATTGGTTGATTTACACTCAGATTTCCTTGTTTTAGTTAACAAATCTGTTATGTACTTATGTTGAGAAATAAAAATACTTTTAAAAGAATGTCCCACTTCTATTCTTAAAAAAATATTTGAGTCGTCTCAAAGTCTTGACATCAAACTGTTGGGTCAAATAATAGTTTTGGATCTCCTCTTCATCATTTCCTATGATAATAATATAATCAACATAAACAAATAGAATTGTAACTCCCCTTGAATAAGAGTGTTTAAAAAATAATGTGTGATCAGCATTACTTTAGTTGTAGTTCAATTTTTTTTTTACTACTATAAACCTTTCAAACCATGCATGTGGAGACTATTTGAGGCCATAAAAGGATTTCTTTAACTTACAAACAAGATTAGAGGAATGATTGCCCTCATATCTTGGTGGGAGAGTCATGTAGACTTTTTCAACCAAATCACCATACAAGAATACATTTTTAACATCAAATTGTTGAATATTTCAACTGAAAATTACTACCAAGGATAATAAAAAATAGACTATATTCATTTTGGACACTGGTGCAAAAGTCTCTTGATAATCTATTCCATATATTTGTGTATAACCCTCAGCCACCAGTCAAGCTTTATACATCTCAATTAAACCATCTGATTTATATTTCACTATGTACACCCATTTGCAACCAATAATCTTCTTATCTTGCAATAATTCCATTATTCATGTTTATTTTTTGTAAGAGCTCTCATGTCATCATCTGTGACTTGTTTCCATTTAGGATTGGATAGAACCTCGGAAAGATTTTTTGGAATGGTAATGGTGTCTAAGGATGCAAAGAATGATTGATAGGGTGAAGAAAGATTATGATAAGATAAGAAATTGGCAGCTGGTTACAAGAGTGTTTTTGTACACTCTTATAGGTTTGCGCAGGGCAATGGGAAATAAATCATGAGGTAGGATTGCAAGATCAACAAATGAAGGAGATGTTAATGGTTGTATATTTTCTACGATCAGATCAAAATTTGAGATTTTTGGTGAATCATGAATTTCCTCTCGCCTAGAATAAACCTTGCCAAACCTTAGGTTTTCAGGAAGCAAATTCAATATAGGACTGGGTATTTCAAGGACTGAAATGGGAATGAATAGGTTACTAGTTGAAGATGAGAATGAAGACTTTACATGTTGATTCATATGAGCTGTAGAAAATATATGCTGATCACTAGATGGAGATTCTTTAAACTAAGAATCAGATTCATGAAATGTAACATCCAATGAAATAAAAAAAAATTCTAGAAGGAGGGTGGTAACATTTGTATTGCTTTTGATTGGTAGCATAACCAAGAAATACACATTTAAGTGATCTCGGTTATAGTTTGCCTTTGGCTTGATTATGAACATGAACAAAAGAGACACAACCAAATGTCTTAGGTTCTAGCCTAATTTTAAGTTGATAGTTTGGAAAAAATGTGGCTAATAAATCTAATAGGCTGTGGAAGCTTGAGGTTCTAAATGGCAATTGGTTGATGAAGTATATGGTTGTTAGAACAATCGCTTCTCAAAAAACTTTAGGTACATGATGTTGAAATAAAATTGATCGAGTAACTTCTAAAGATTACAATTTTTTCTATTAGCTAAACCATTATGCTGTGAGGTATAGACACAAGAGGATTCATATATGATGCCCTCTATCTGAAAGTATAAATTCAGATTTTGGCTAAAATACTCTTTAACATTATCAAATCTGAAATTTTTAATACGTGTCAAATTATTTTTTTATCATGACACAAAAAAATTTTAGAACATCACACACATCGGATTTTTGTTTGAGAAGAAAGACCCACATACATCTTGTACAATCATTAATGAAAGTGACAAATCATTTATTACCACGAATGTCATTAATGGGACATGGTCCCCAAATGCCAATATGAATTAGGAACAAATGAATATCACTACTTTCCTCTTAAGATTGAAATGAAGTACTTGTGTGTTTAGAAAGTTCACACACATTATATTTAAGTGTCAAATGACAAATTTTGAAATAAAGTAAGAAAAACTATTTTTAAAGTGTTAAAGGATGGATGTTTCATCTATTGGTGAAGTAATCGTATCTTAAGGACATTTCCAAGAGGTTCTAGAGATTAATCTATTTCCACTAGATGTGTTTGACTCAATTCTTCTAGAAGATAAAGACCTTCACGCTCTCTAGTAACTCCAATCCTCTAATGATGTATCTTATCAAATATGACATAAACATCTTCATCAAAAAAGACATGACAAGGTGAATCTCTAACAAGTTTCTTAACTGAAATGAGGTTTATAAATAACTTGGGGACATGAATAACATTAGTAAGAACCCTAAAAGGTTTAAGTCTAATGTCTCCTATACTTGGAACGGTTAAAAAAGATATATCTATAGTAGTCACTTTTTTGTCACTAGAATAGGGGTTGTATTTAGTGAAAAGCCTGGAGTTACTCATGTGGTCCATTGCTCTTGAGTCCACTACCCAATTATTAAAAATATCTCTAGAAGAGACTCAAACTCCAAGAGAGAGGTGAAACATACCAAGTTGAATTGATGAGAATTGTGTCATTGTCGACTTCAATTTTTCTAATTCAATTTGAAGTCACTCTATATCCTCAATCTGAGGTGAAGAAGAATGTTGACTGATTTAAGAATATGAGGGCTGACTAGTCGATAATCCTGCTGCCAGATGTGCTTGACTGTCGTATTTTTCAATACCAAAATTTTGTGACTTATCATGTAGTTTACAATATATTCTCTAGTGTGACGAGCTTTCATGCAATATGTACACCACATATTATCACGAAAATTAGTCATCTGATTTCTTCCTTGGCCATGTTAGGGCTGTTTAGCTTGATCTAAGGCTTTCTTTATAATTTCTCCCTATTTAATCATAAATGTAATATTATCAACTTCAGGCACTGACAACATTAATTTTTGATGACTTTCCTCATTCAAAATGATGGAAATAACTTCATCCAAATCATATTTCCTTTCCTGACTCAAAATTTGTTGTTTGACTTAATCAAAAACAAAAATTAAGTCTAATAAAAAATTTAAATACTCTTCTTCATTTCATAAAATGACATAGGACAATAATTTATATAGGTTTTTATGTATCAGTACTAAGATAATAATCAATTTCCTACAATAAAATTTTCAATTATCTTGCATATTCCATCACAAATGTATTTCCTTGAATTGTGGACATGAGTTTTGTCTCAAGCTCATATAAATGTGCCTCATTGTTTCTTTGTGAGAATTTTATGTGAACTATTTCTCACAAATCTTTGATTGTAGATAGAAAGAAAAAATCTCAACTAATTTGAGGAATCATTGTTCCCCAAAGCTAGGTTTTGATTAATGCATCTTCTTCCATCTACGAAATTCTTGAGACAATGGATCCAATTTCTCCTCAATTAGATGATGTAACATCCCTCTTCTAGTCAATACCTCTTGAACATATTATAACCATTGAATTAAATTATATCCCAATCAATTTGAACTCTACAAGAATTGCAGGAAGTTCTATGAGTAATCTTGGACCACTTGGACCAAGAATAACTTCCCTTGTGGACGTTGGATCCCCAAGATGATGAAGAATTGTTTCCCACATTCTCTATTTAAAGAGGATGTCCAAATTCATGAACATAACAAATTCGAGAACAAATCTCAATAGAGACAAGGAAAAATGGTGCAAGAATAGTAACAAATCAGTAAATTAGTGTGGAAGCAAAGAAATGTAACTATCGCACGTGAATTCACTTTGAAAGAAACATAGCAAAGGAGAAGATCTCTTGTCAGAAGTGTACAATGCTGGTAACTCTAACAAACGATGGAGAGAACGCCGACAAAGCAACGTCAATTGTGACAGTGCTGAAAAATAGGGTTTAAAATCTTAGAATTACTCCAGTACCATGTAGTCGAGATAACACATAGTTTAGAGTTTGATAGGCATGCAACACTTGTGGAAGAACTCAAATTTTATTTTTCAAAAACTATTTACAAGGAGAGTAGGATCTACTATTCATATCAAGTCCCTAGAAGGTTTTAGACGTACTGATGTAACACGAAATGAAAGGTACATGAGGACATATATGTAAACATGTAAGGTATACAAGTTATTAAGTACATCTTGACAATAAATTACATGTGAGATCTCTTCAGTTTTTTTGGTTAAGCATGTTTTCTCTTATTACTTATTATAAATCCTAATGAAGTAGAAAAGAAGTTTAGAGAAATGAAAATGACATTTAGCCTAAAAAATTCCATGTTATTATCATTCTTCATAGGTTTAATTATTTTGACTTATATCCCTACATTTATGCATGAGATAACTTATTTTTAAAACTATATTTTAATATTAGACAATACTTGTTGCTTCACTTGAATAGAAGTTAGAATTATGACTAAACCCATAATAATCTATACAAGCCATTTTGAAACTCTTAATTGATTAACACACCAAGGAACTCTAAGCTTTCACTTTCTTGGTTGCTTCCAATTTTTAGTGAATATGTCCCATGTCATTAACTATTTAAACCCTAATTAGCCCAAAAAACTTTCTACTAGTGGGAATTTGAGTATCTTGAAAAAAATCAAAATCAATATTTTCTAAGGTTTTTCATGACCAGAAAAGCTTCACTAGGACATGGAATCTGCCATTTTTGTGGTTTGAGAATCTCATATTTCATAAGTAATTCTTAGGTTGTAATAATTTCATAAATTACATGGATCTTTGAATTTATGATTCATCAACTTATAATAGTAAGATCATGTTTATTAGGGTTGGGTTTTCAAATGCCATCAATGGAAGCCTGAAGTCTATTTTCTTCAACCCAAAAATACTTTCTACTAGTGGGCATTGCGTATCCTGAAAACAACCAATGTAAATCAATAGTTTTTTCCAAGGTTTTTCATGACCAGAAAAGCCTCACTAGGTCATGGAGTCTGCCATTTTTGTGGTTTGGGAATCTCATATTTCATGAGCATTCTTAGGTTGTGATGATTTCATGAGTTACATGTATCTTTGATTTCATTATTCATCAACTTATAACAAAAAGATTCATGTTTATTAGGATTGGGTTTTGGAATGCCATCAATGGAAGCCTAAAGCCTGTTTCTTTTAACCGCTTTGTAGAACTTTCCTTAGTTGTCTCAATATCTCTCCACCATTGCATAAAGAGTTGCTCCTCTATATATTCTTGTAAGGCATGCATTTCTTTGTGATGATATAGTTATTCCTATATTTTTATCTCATTATACCTATGATAAAATGGAGTAAATTAGGACTATGGTTCATAAACCTTTGACTATGATTTATGAGCAAATTTAATCAGTTATCCGGATACTATACATAATTAATCAGTTGTTGAATATGATGTGGGACTATTGATGTATATGTATGATTCCGTGTTATACCTATTTATGATTGATACCAAAAATTAAAGTTTATTTTATTTTATGAAATATTTAAAATTTTAACAATAGGAGTTTTTGTAGAAATCTAGAAAATTAATTACTTTATAAAAAATATCAGCCCGTTATGCATGCCCATGATTTTGTTATGCATGTCTGATAACTATTAAAAAGTGCATAAATATATATATATTCTAGTTTTCAGGTAGTTGAACGGGGTATAAGTTGGTAAAACGGGAAGCATCGACGAGGACGAGGAGAGGACTTCAGCAGATGCTGCAATGGGTTTGAGAAGAAGCTTGGCGCTCCCATTGGATCGCCTGAAACCCTATTCTGGGATTCCCACCGTAGAAGCTTTGAACAATGTTTGAATCGATTCTCTACACACTCTAAGCTTGGTGGCAGCAAGGGGCCGCTGTTGTTTCCTCTGTATGCCCTGATATGGAAGTCGGAATCTGCAGGGGTGGAGATGGAGTGGTGTCAGAGGAGCCCACGGGGCCGCAGATGGGCACCGCCCGAACGACAGAATGGAACCCGCCAGTGGCGGCGGCGGCAGCAGGAAGAGCGCTTCCATAGAGGGGATCAAAGATATCATTGCGGTGGCGTCTGGGAAAGGCGGCGTTGGCAAGTCCACGACTGCAGGTCTGTGAATTTAAAAAAATTTGACGTTGGAGAAGATGACTCGAATGCCACATACATTATGGACTTAATTGTGACTAACGCTGTCCTGCGCGTCTAGACGGGATTTGCGTGCATCCCTCTCATTGCCGTTTTCGTGTGGTTTTCTGATATTTTTGTTCATTCTTACGCTAGTTTATGGTGCCCTGTTCAAGTTACATCACCATCTGCGGCATCATGATTTCTGAGAGTGTTCTATCTAAATGTCATCGATCACCGTGAATAAGAAGTGCCCAATTGTCGAGTACCAGCGTTTGACTGGTGCTTCAGTGTTTCTGGGTTGTTCCAATGCATAGTTTCTTCATGAATTTTTTGAAAATATTTCCAATTTACTTTGATGTTGAAATACTGGGCGATTAAAAGCATCTGTTCATTAATTTTAGTTCAAGATGATGGAATTAAAATATCACCAGATTTTGAGGTAATTATGTGGTAATATTTCACCGGATTTTGTGTTCATACGATGAAGTTTCCTTGTTCTGGCAGTTAATTTGGCCGTGGCACTTGCTAAAACATGTAAACTGAAGGTCGGTTTACTGGATGCTGATGTCTATGGGCCGTCCATACCTACCTTGATGAAGCTTGAAGGGAAGCCAGAAGTGAATGAAGGTCTCATTCTTCGAGCACATCACAGTTGGCCAATATTATTGTCTCCCTGTGCTTTCTTCTCCTCACTTCTTAATCTTGTCTCTGTTTCTGATATACTGGTCATTGTTCAGATCCACTAATATATCTGTGGTTGTCTCATGTATTCTCGTTTTTTTAAGTTCATTAATGGATAATTTGTGATGCTCCCTCACAAAATATATCTTCATGATTTCATGTTACCCCCTACTTAATTTACTTTATTAGTATACAGCTTGTGATTCTCCTCACAAAATATATCTTCATGATTTCGTGTTACCCCCTACATAATTTACTTTATTAGTATGCAACTTATGACACTCATCGCAAAATATATTGCAATGATTTCAAGTTTAGTCCCTATGTAAGTTGATGGTATTATTTTTCTCCTGGATTTGCTTGAAAAAAAATTCTAATATTTTGTGACTTGAAGTACGATGATAGCTTCCCAACATAGATTGATATTATGAATCATCTTATTTGTATCCTTGGTTCACTGAAGACCTAGCCTCATTGCCTTGTTAATTCTTTTCTCAATACCTATTGGCGATTTTCCAATGAGCTCAATCCTTTTCGCATTATTTTTTGGTTGATTAAGTCAAATGTGAATAGAATGACGTGAATAATGGAGCAACTATGGACGCTCAACAGCATACAGATAGCTCGAATTTAAGCTTGTAACTCGGCTGAACAAGCGATGGTGATTCGTGATGTTCTCTGTTTGAAGTCAAGCTGTTGAGAACATGATCTGATCATAATGGGACTTATTCATGCTGAGCTCTTACTCAGAAGAGACTCGCATAGGGGAGAGAGAGTAGGTCCCCTCTTCTATCTGCCATCTCCATCTTCGGGATTTCAGGCTTCCAATCTATTATTTATTCGAATAATCATGTGATTATAAAGACAGTTCTACGCAACTTGTAGTTAATTGCTTTTGGGTTGCATGGCCTGACGAACAAACTATGAACAAGTGAACTCACACTGTCTCAGGATGTTTCCTAGTGATAGGTAGAAGGAAAGATACGAAAGAACGAAGTGGAAACAGGCTGTTTTTCATCGGATGTGGGAGACCCAGTTCACAACTCCAGGCTGCTACTGCTTCTGCGTGTCTTCTGTGGCTTATATATTTTCTTCTCTAATTTAATACGGCATCTCATTCTTTCCTAGCTAGCTGCTCCATGGATGGAGTTCATTGTGCTGAATGCACATTGAATTCATCTTATTTTGAACTGTGCGTGAATCAGACAGTAAACTACTCATTCGACCAGGTTCAGAAATTCCTAGTCTGATTGGATTACTGAGGAGACTGATTCTAGCACCTGAACCCTGCCTTTCTGTTTCTGAACTATACCACAACACGAATTCTTTTCCCTCCATGGGAGAGAAACCCTGAAGGAAACTTAGATTTAAGAAATGAATACAATTTAGTTTCTTATATGAAATTGAGCGAGAAATAGTCTCCAATAATCTAGAAGTTCATTTTTTGTTTTGACGTTAAAATGAATAGATTTGATTTTTACTGTCACGTTTTTCATAGCTACCCAATGCTATTATTAGTAATTCAGGCAGATTGTAGTGAATATCTTAGAAAACTCGAGCTCTTGTCATGGGTGCTTTTGGGGAGCAGGCAAATCTGTTTCAGTCTTGAAGGCATACTCAAGGTGTTCAGTTCTCAGCTATGCTCATGACCTGATTCAGCATTATGAAAAACAACAGAGAGATGAGCAATCTTTCTGAGTCATAAGGTCCTATTCTAACAAGGCTGCTGTTTGTTGATCATCTTCATGGAAAGAATGACAGCCCAATTTCCCAGAGGATGCCACAGTCAGCACCAATACCCACCTCCTGTTTTCTGCTTACACATTTAATCTGTTGTCATCAGGATGCCACTTTTCTCGTCTTTATCACCATTTGCCCGAGACAGTAGTCTCATATTCTTAATCTAACAAAGCTTTCATCACTCATTCATTTCCAGTACCTTTGATATGAAAACAATACTCTCTGTTGTCTTTCACTTGTACTGTACATCCTTCGAAGATGAGGATAAATTTACGGATATTTATTGATCACGCGTCTAAATAATCCATTTGTTTTTCCGATTGCTAAGATATGTTGTTGCAAACGCTGGTCTTCTACTTACTATTAACTTTTCTGATAAATTTTTATGGTGTTAAAATCATACTGTATCTGTCTAATCATGGGGAAATACAAATGTTTCCTCGAATCTTGACCCAATGTAAGCGTCTAGCATATATGGCTATATTATTGTAGAATACAGTATTGTGTTGCAATCTTTTCTTGCTAGCTGCACGACATCACCTATCTAGAGATATTGAGAGTTTGAATAAGCGTTGACATTTGGCATATAGACTTCATATCGGACGATTCATCAATGAAGTGAACTTTGCCTTTTTACACAGACATGAAGATGATTCCTATGAAGAACCATGATGTGTGGTGTATGTCAATTGGGTTTCTCATAGGTAAGGATGCTCCAGTTGTGTGGAGAGGACCTATGGTATGTCCCTATTCTCAAATACTATTCTTGTAAATTACTTTCTGGAAATGCCTTTTCTTTTGTATTTGAAATTATTCCTATAAGTTTTTAGCTATTTTCTTTTGGTGGGTCTAGCAGTGGTTATTTGGCAACACAACACTCTTGTAGATGTTAAACGTGAAAAACATTCACTTGGACGACTTCACATGTTTTTTAATGCGTGTTTCTTGGTTATTATTCTCATAAATGATGTGTGCTATTTTCCTCTTTGACTTAAAAGCGTCCCATGTTAGTGTTAGATCTGGCATGGCCTTGTGGCTACAGATTTAAGGTGCTTTTAATCCAGAAAGTTGCTTGTGCGGCTTTTATTTTATCTTCGTTCTCTCTTAGATGTGGAGTTTTGGTATTCAATAATCTAGATTTATTCAATGTATGCAGATCTTAGGCGCTTTTAATGCTAAATACTTCTATGTTCACTTTTTTTTTCTTAGACTTCACTCTCTTATAAATTTTAAGGGTCCTATTTTATCCTAGAGCTTTGTCCAGTGTATCCTTCCATCAATTCAAAAAGTTAATTCTCCTGTTATTGGGCTCTACTTTAATGAATTTTCAGCAATAATGTGATCCGCAATGATTTTCCCAGGGAGTCAAACCACATTCCACATTTCAGATCGATCAGTCGTTGAATCTATACATTAATTGGTCAAAAGGTTTCTCCATCAATATTTGAATTAGGATTTGCTTCGGTGCCCATGCCATTACAGTGGTGAAGACCGTAGTTCTAGCTTCCTTTTCAGAGTCAACTTGACGCCTGACTCCATGATTACGCAGGTTTCCAATGTAGTAAACATTGGGCATCTACCTGAGGGATGACCTGAGCTGAGGTTTGTAAAGTTTTGCTTAGACTGCTGGCTCATAACTCTCTCAGACGAGTGCATTAATAAAACATTGTATTAGGGAGGCATAGGAGGTAGCCTGGTTTCAAAATCTGGGTCCCATTTGCATATCGTATGAATTACTTTCGCTTATAATCTTGTTTTCTTCCTGTTTCTCCGATCACTTTCATTGGCATCCTTGTTTATGTTTTGCTTTAACTCTCTCTCTTACATTTCTGGTGTGATTTTCTTCTAGTTTGTTCTGCACCTGTCCTAAGCCACCAGTCCTATATCTTTCCTGGTATTTCACTAAGGGCACTTTTATTGTCCATGATGGCATGTAATATAGAAAATTATGTCTGCCTTGAGGAAGTTTTCCTTCTCTGTTATACTGGATCTTGGGTAATATGCTTGACGCACAGGATCCTGATATCCTCTCCATTCTCATTCATTAGCACTTGACTTCCTGGACCCAGATCCGGTTAGGAAACAAAAGAAGATAATGATGAAAGGCATTCAGGGTAAATAAAAAGTCAAAGAAAATGAAAAGCAAATAAGAGTGATAATTGCTAACATGGGAACCATTGAAAATGAGAGGAAAGAAGGGGGGAAAATGAATAAACTGTTTATTTAGTGCGTCGAGTAAGGCATCTAGTTAATGATATATTTTAACTTACCCCTTTTACATGGTGGATTACTGTAATACCTCCAAGCTGGGACTGTGAACATGAATTCTGGAATCAAATTGTGTAATGGGACCATTCAACAGAGACCAACCGAGTGGTAGAGCAGGCCCATGCGTTCAATCTCACATCTTAGTTTGTCCCTGTTCAATCTGGCGTTGTAATTAGGAAAATCTCAGTCTACAGGAACATAGACTACAGATCATGAGGCATGTGCTGTGGCCAACTTAGCAAAAGGACATCTGTTTCCCATTTTCTTTTCCTTTCCTTGCTTGTTCTATTATGGGGATGCTGTAGGCGGCTAGGGCTCATCTTTTATGGCCTAAAGCACATCAGAACGAGAACCTCCTCTTTGTTTTCTTCTGCCTGATTACCTCCCTGAGTTCAGCAGATTGGTCCAACGGCCAAGAAAGAAGATCCAGTTGAATTCATCTTGTTATGGTTTGACTGAGTTTCCAGTTACCTGCCCAAAGTTTTGGTTATTTCCTTATTTGACCATATCTTGTTGAATGCCAAAAAATATTTAACACCCAAATATTTTGTGGTAGTCCATTTTTAGAAAATACATGTATCTGGGTATGTAGTGCATTGATTTCAGTAGTCTTTTTCGGGGCGCTATTTTTCTCATATCAAAGTGGATTTCTCACATGAATTTATTGGATTTTTCATCCTTGCAGGTAATGAGCGCTCTTGAAAAGTTGACCAGGGGGGTTGCTTGGGGTGAGCTAGATATACTAGTTATAGATATGCCTCCTGGCACTGGTGATACACAGCTGACTATCTCTCAGAGATTGCGATTATCTGGTAATCATGCATCCTCTGTCCTTTTTGATTTTTTCTAAGCAAGGATCTCATAATATTTAAATTAAAATCACCAAAAATGGTCTCATTTTCCAGAAAAATATTCTTTCACTATTAGACGAACTGGGTGTTGGCATTAAAATTAAATATCACCTCACTGTAGCAGTCAGGATCGTGTTCATTTCGGCTTGGATCTTGTAGCCTTGTTGCGGTGAAGTTTTCTGATGAACACAATGACTCCACCTTCTGCGTTGCTGATGATGATTGGTTGGAAAATGATATTCACCTTGGACTATGGTCTATATTTTTCTCTCTTAGTTTTTTTCTTTGCTGGTTGAGAAAGGTATTCTTTCTTCGTAACATTACTATTCAGATTAATGCTAATTTTTTAAAAAGTCGATTTTAGTTAACTCTGGTGGATCATACCTTAGTAGATCAATCTTTGTCAACGATCATATTTAAAAATGTTCACTGTCATCCAATTCTCTATTTTTTATTGATATCTAGATTCTTTATCTTCTTAAATCAGAAAAATCATCTAGAATCTCCTTCAAATCCCCAGTGACATTGATGCCAACACTTGAGATAAATTTTCAATCATTTCTTCCTTTTTTTTCTTTCATTCCATTGAATCACATAAAAGACTAATGGCGAATTATTTTTATTTTAAGTATGTGGTTTTTAAGCAGCTGGTCCGGTTTGATTCACCTCAGGGCTATCAATTAATCGTCTGTTTACATCTTTGACACGCTAGGCGCTTTGATCGTTTCAACTCCTCAAGACATTGCACTGATCGATGCCCGAAGGGGTGCAAATATGTTCCGAAAAGTACAAATACCTGTAAGTATATTTATTATTCATTATTTGTGATTTACTTCTTGCCCAACATATTATATCAATCTAGTCAAACCTATCCAGTTAAGCTTACTTGTTCTAATCACATACTTGGCATTATTCCTCTTTTTATTTTTTCTGTTGTGATGCCCATAAGTGTAATGCTCTCCTTGGTTCTATGTGCGTTGACCAACTCATTACACTGTTTATTATTCAACCCCATCTTTGTATCGTAGTTTCTATATTTTAATTAAATAATTCCAAAATATGTGCTTTTCCATTCTGTGGTCCTTCTGACTGGGGGGATGCAAGGGAAAGTATCAAAATTTTCTGCGTTGACCGTATTTGAACCTTGCATTTATCTATCTATCTATCCGAAGTAATTCAGTATTTTTGTGCCCTGGCAGATTCTGGGGTTGATAGAGAACATGAGCTGCTTTAAGTGCCCTCACTGCCGAGAGAAGACATATATATTTGGGCACGGTGGGGCCCGCAAGACGGCCGAGGAGATGGGCATGGAATTTCTCGGCGAGGTATTTAGTCAGTTTTATCGCCCAAACGATTTTAATATTCAACTTAATTCGAGGTAAATTGTTTCTTGCGACCCACTTCTTCTCATCCAATTTATTTAAAACCTTGTTTGAATCCAACCGAAAAGGCCACCAATGCATGCTGATGTCTAGTGAACATTTTATAATCTGTCTCATGAATCATGCAAGAACAGTTGAAGAACGGCTCCTAAATATCACAACAACTTTTATCCAGTTTTATTGTTTTTCTTTCGATTTTATGATTCATCAGCCTTCTGTTCTCTTCCTCCATCTATAAATCTTGAAAAAATAAAGATGTAAATAGATAAAATACTGATTTTTTATCTATGTCACATCTTAATCCGATTACTCTTTTCTTTCTTGTTGATTCATTGCAGTTCCGGACTATTTATCCGCTTCCTTCAGCTATAAATCTAGAGAAAAATGAAGAGATATAAAGTATATAGAGGGATGAATTTCTTGGAGTTAACAATCGGGTCACTTCCCTGACGGAGCCTTTGAAATGTTTTACTCTGATTCAGATACCTCTGGAAGTGGAGATAAGGAGCAGCTCAGATGAAGGAAGTCCGATTGTTGTGTCGGCGCCGTCCTCGGAAGCGGCTGAGGCTTACAATGAGATTGCCCAGAGAGTTGTTCTCTGGCTCGTTGACTCGGCGAGGGAGAAAGATCAGGGCCCGATTATTTCTCTGTGAAGTCAATGGTGAAGTGCTGGCTCCCTCCCCATGGCTTCCACTCATGCTCTTGTGTTTATCCAGCTTCTGAGAGGCCACTGATGATGATCATCCTGTTTTTGATGTGAGCAGGAGGAATAGGCTTCGTTTTGACTTGGTTTGTAAATAAATGCCTGACAATAATCTTCTCTCTCTCTCTCTCTCTCTCTCTCTCTCTCTCTCTCTCTCTCTCTCTCTCTCTGGCTAACCTCTCATTTCGAGGGTTCTTGGGTATTGAAGATCGAGGTGGTACTAAGGTGGCATGTTGATGACTTCTGTTTTGTTCTGCTCTGATTACAGAACATTAGTCTTTTTAAGAGCACTTGAATATATCCCCTAATGGATATTATTTACTAGTTTTCTGAAATATTTTATCAAGAAATTATATCGTCAATTATACGTACAAAACTCAAAAGATAAATAAAGATAAATGATTCCTGATAATCGAAATATTCATTACATCTATAAACGTTGATGTTCTACCAGCTCCATGATTCTTGGAGAAGTTCCCACCCGTATAAGGAAAGAAAGATTACATGCATTACAGTGGACAAGCAAGCTACTCTGCGCGGCGAAGGCGGCGGCGGGCATCGCCGGCAGCGGTACCTCCGCCGGCCGATGGCGGTCGCGGGGGCGCATGTGGGTCGGGGACCTCCGGGTGGGGGACGTGTGGTGGGGTGACCTCAGGAGGGATCACATCCGGCGGCGGCGCCACCGGAATCTCCGGCCAGGGAGGCGGCGGCGTCACCGGTTCCGGGAAGTCCGGCCAGGTCGGCTGCTCGATCCCCGGCGGGGGCTCGAACTCCGGCGGGGTGTCGATCCCCGGGACCTCGGAGGGAAAATACGGATCCGGCGGCTGGGTTGCGGCGGGGCCGCCAGAGATGACGCCGGTGCAACTTTTGAAGGAGAGGAGAGCTGGAAGGACAACGAAGTTGACTGTGTCTGGGCATGATCGACTGTGGAACGGGGGAGAAATCCTTCTGGAGCTTGACTTCAAGCAGCTTCTCCTGAGTGTATTCATGGAGATGGGGGAAGAAGATGCCATCTCGATGCCATCTCTCTCTCTCTCTCTACTGTTCTGCCGTCGGTTGCAGAGATTAACGAGTATGCATGGGGGAGGGAGGGAGAGACACGCTGATGGACGCGTGTAAGGGAGACTTCTGGTCACTTCGTGTCGGATCCAGAGATGCATGTGATCAAGTAAAAAAATAAAAGCTTTATTACTGTGAAATCGATGGAATAAAATTGACAATCTTAATGTCATTGAAAGCCCAGAGAAATTCTATTAATATATTATTTATGAAATTAATAATATTTGTGTAAACCCGCATGCAATATTTCCTTGCAATATCATGCAAAGTTAGATATCCATTAAAATAGATAGCTACCCAAATTAAGAAAACGGGGTTAAAATTTTGGTGTTATTTCCTTGCAAAATTTAATAAAACTATTGTAGATGCAAGAGACGATTTATTCAAAGAAATGGATTCTTGGCGTTCAACAGCCACAATTCATAGACTTTCTCAATTTGTCTTTGTAACCAAGGGTCACTAAAGTAAGCAGATGAAATTTTGTCGTCCCACATTTAGAGCAAGGGATAATGAATATCATTTAAATAAATTGATTTTCACTCCTTCAAGATTTTTAATGAGAGAAAGGAAGCTCCACCTTGGGAATTCAGCAAACCATATAATTTTTGTTACTTAGATTCATAAAATAAGCTATACTAGTAAAGGAAAAATTACGCAATTTAAATGCCAGGGTAACAAAAGGTTAAATATTTAGAAGGGAACGAACGTTAGACTCTAGTATTAAGTAGTTCATTTAAATAAATATCATTAAATAAAAAAATACTCATTCAAGATTTTAAATGAGAGAAAGGAAGCTCCACCTTGGGAATTCAGCCAAATCATATGATTTTTGTTACTTAGGTTCATAAAATAAGCTACACTGATGAAGCAAAAATTATGCAATTTAAATGTCAGGGTAACAAAAGGTTAAATATTTAAATGGTTCAATTTCAACCAAATTGGGAAAGTCAGAGCATCTAAATGTAGTGAAGAAACTGACATCAATTAAATGAAAGTAGAAGACAAGAAGGTTGTGTGGAAAACCTAGGCATGTTGAGTCCAAATCTTAATCAAATTGACAAAATATTAAAATCATAAAGTCAATAGAAGTTCCTTAGGTTGCTATTTCACATGAAATTAGTATAACAACAGTTTCCTAATCAACTTCAAAGAGTGAACTATTGGAGTATCTTCACAAAGAGCATGAGGGAGCATCTCATGCCTAAAAAGTTCCAACATGAACTGTGGACGATTCTATAATTCTGACATATGACAGACTAATTGATAAATATATAATATGATTTATATTGGTATATTTTAGGCATTTTCTAGGTATAACAGACAAAAGGACAGTAGTAACTCCATTTCGCCCAACCCATCAAATATTTGAGCTGTTGTGCACTTAAACACAAACTTATTGGCATGGTTACACTGTTCTAATTATGCCAAAAAAGTGGTCATAGCCCATGGATTGATTCGATGCCCTTTAGCCTAAACTGAAACCATATTATCTTCCTAAGTGGCTTGATTTGTATGTTGAAAGAAGAAAACGGAGAGGAATGTGATAGAAATTATTGAAAATAGGTGAATTTCTTTACCAATGGATAGATTGGCTTAGGAATCAGGATAAAATGTTTCACCCTTTTGTTGAAAAGAAGGATCTTGGTGGATTCCTTGGTCTCTATAGTTATGATGGCTCTTGGGCAGAATTCCGTGCAACATCTACTCACTCTCTCTCTCTCTCGCGATTCCCCATGGACATCTTCAGTTGACAATTTTCAGTTAGTTTATCTATCCTATCTCATTATGGCACTCAGAGACTCCCATCTGGGTCACCATTTACGTCATTTCTCATGGGCATTGCCACCAAGAACTTCCACTCACGTGGGAGTCTACAGAGAGGAGAAAGAACCCAGGAAAAAACGCTAGATAACAAAAGGCCCACGATTACCACAACAAATGGACTTGGAAAAGTAAAGATGAATTGAAAGCTAATCGAGCGAAATGCTTATCACAACCCAAAGTCAGGAGCAAATGAAGAAGCATAATTTTCAGGACAGTTAAAGTATTATTTTCCTACGTTAGCTTTTTCTCATGCCATGAGGTTTGATTTCCGTGAGGAAGTGGCGGTCGGCGTGTCCATGGAAATAATTGAAGTAGGAAGAAGTACCTGAAGAGGATGAAGCTCATGGTTCCATCATTTCTCCGGGCGGCGATGGAGGCTGCATCCGTAGAGAGAGAGGGAGAGAGAGAGTTTTTTGTACGACAGTGAGGAATGGGTTCGAAAACCACTCCGTCTTCTTCCTCTTTCATGGTTTCAAACCAGACAACATCGCTCGCAGCACCAGACCAGAGGAACCCGACGGAGGGACAGAGAGAGAGCGAGGGAGAGCGAGAGAGAGAGAGAGAGAGAGAGAGAGAGAGAGAGAGAGAGGGAGAGCTGTTTCTACGGCAGTGAGGAATGAAGCCTGGTCCGAAAACCACACCGGTTCTTCTGTTCTCATGGTTTCGAACCAGACAACATCCCTCGCAGCTCCGAACCAGACGAACGCGCTCGCGCGCGAGAGAGAGAGAGATATGAGTCTGCGAGGACTCAGAGAAGAGGGGGAGGAAGACCAGAAAAGGAAAGAATAAGAGGAAGAGGGATGCTGCGGGGAGATGGGGAGTGAGCTACGTACCAAGGCAGGAGTTTCTTTCCTGCTCCAGGCGACGTGCAGAGAGTCTATATCGAGGTCTCCCAGCGCACAGATGCGCTTCACACTATGGGGATTTAAGCCCGCACCAAGACTGCATTAATCGCAAACAATATAGTTTTGAGTCTTTCAGAAACTCTCCCATCAACCCACCAAAGAACACCAAACGCCCCCCCCCCCCTCTCTTCTTTCTAATGGAGGATAAAATATGAGAGCTCCCCAAGACTCTAAACAGGATAACCCAGCTTAAGCATCAGATGTCAGTCAACATCATAGCTCAACCCCTTTTCCTCCTCTTTCTTCTTTATTTCAAAAGCACAAAGCTCTCATCAGTGGGTACTTGGGCGGGTTGTTGCTCTCTTTCGGGATGTTACCCACCATGGAAGCCGTCGGATCTAGATCAGACGGTTCATGGAAGATCAACCCCTCGATGAAAGCAGTCTCTGAAAACTGCTGGGTCTGAATGGAACAGATACCTTTGTGTTTGGTATTATTCTCCGAGCGAAGGATCTCCCTTTTCCTCCCACTTTGCGAAAGAGGATGGGAGAGGGCGAGGGTTGGGGAGAACCTCTTCCACTCGTGGGAGGAGGGGGGCCCCTCACGCGAAATTGTGATTCCAAACTTCATCGCCAAGCTGATGGAGAAAGGGGAGCTGGAAAGGAGAGGAGAGGAGAGAAGACAGAGCTTCTTGTAGGGAGGGAAAGTGAGAACCAACAGCAATATAACCAAAGAAGATTATGTCCATGCATGCTAGAGTTCATAATTTATTTTTTTTCGTATAATGTTTTGGCAATAAATGAAAGTTCTATTTTCCAAAAATATGATAAGTGCCAAAAATAAGGTATTATATGTGAAGAAAACCTAAACATCTACCATATCATAACGGTCAACAGCCATATCATAGAAAACCAACTTAACTGTCAATACGTAACATCCATAGGGATAGAGGACCAAAGAAGTCTTAGTGGTTTTATTACTAAAATTGAAAACCCAAAAAGTCTAAAAAATTAGTTGTAGTCTCATTTGTAGAGATTTTGTTTTCCAATACAAAGGTGTCAACCTTAAGCTACAGAAAGTCACATAATATAAGTGATGAAAAGGCTTCAAACAATGTAAACATTCAAAGCCTAAAAGCCCACCTTCTTTGAATTCACATGTGCTTAGGTGATTTTTCAAGCTTCAAGTGAGCCTTTTCATGCACATTGCCTTTGTCTTCCAATATTATGGAAATTTTGCAAGTTCTTCACAACGTAGCTTGTATTAGGATGATCATTTTTGGCTTAAAATAGGAGTTTAGTTAACACTTGAATGATGCTAACGTGTAACAAGTTATAGTTACCTAAAGAGCTGTGAAGAGAATGCTAAAGAAGCAAGGCAGTTTTTAGGTTAAACTAGGCCACTATGAATCTTGGTGTCAACATATGATTTTTTTATTCTGAACTATGATTAAACTATTTTTCATTGTGTACCCATCATGCACTATTTTTCATCATGCACCATGATTAAACCATGGAATAGTTTACTCTTACCCTCCCTTGTGGTTCATACCTTGGCCCACTTGAGACCAACCCTTTTCATAATAGACGTCTCCCATCAATACAATATAAAGGCTTAATGATTTTTAAATTTGGGACTTTCTAAGAATACAGATATTTCATGTCCTACAAAGTCACCTCTTGAACTACTTCAACATTAACTCATGTTAATCTCTAAGATTTTTGGATGCTTACTAAGTTATTGATATACTTTCCTTTATTGAAGGCTTCACTTGTCTAGGCTCATTGGGATGTTTGGAATGTTCTATTTATAGTAGATTATAAGAAACTTTGTGAATTTTTTCGAGATGCATAGACGTTTAGTATACGTTGCTTTCAGTCTATGTAATGGTTAAATCATAAAACATATCACTTCTGCCTATTCCCACTCCTTGACCTTCTAGCTAGCCCTATTGCTTCATGCCCTTTGAGTTAGGCTATTTCCTCTATGTAATATATTGGAATTTATAATTTTCGTTTTATTTTTTAATGCATATTTGGGAAGTTTAAAATGATTTTTTTTCTTATTAAGAATTTTGGACTCTATTCTAATAGCATAAATAGCTAAAGAATATTATATGGAAGCCTTTTGACAAACCATCTAAATCATGTTTATAAGCACCACCCCCAAATACAAGCTATTACTAGTTAAGATTTTCTTAGTTGAAGCTAATGTATGCTTCTCTCAACTTTTAAAAAAAACATAACAAATGATATAGAAAATTGACATGTTCTACATTATAAACCATAGATATAATTCTTGATCCAAGCTTTATAGTTGTGTTGAAAAGAAAGATTTGGTCCGCTCATTTGAACCTTATGGATCTTAACAAGCATCTACATTAGTATGTGATTTCCTACCAGGAAAAGTTATTGTTGATGACTCAAACAAACACATTGTTTGAAGAAGACTAAAAAATTAGAAAAAATGTAAAAATAGAAAAAAATAATTTAAAATGAGAAAACATGACAACAAACAACTAAGAATCAAGTAAAAGTAATGAAGTTTCTAATACATTAGCAAATTTGAAGGCATCAAAAAAAAAAAAATCTTTGAACTTATATGTATAAAGTTGATCTTCAATAAAGCAATATTTGTCCTTTTGATATTGTCCATGGAAAAATAATAGTTATGTTAAATGCTGCATCATTTCAATATGATTATCTTGACACTTTATTCATAGAGTAATATTTTATGTATCTATGGGTATGTTCATGTTGCTAAATGGACAGTCCTTTTATATGTATTTTGGAGAGTCTACTAAGAAAAGGTTGATGTTAGGTCAAATTTGTGACAAACTCAAAGTACCATAAATTGTCTAAAATAGTTACTATAAAGTTTATTGAGTTGAATAATATTTTTCTCTTTCAATTTATTTTAAATAAGCATAATAAAATGACCATAGGTTTCTCTTGAATAGAGATTTAAAGTTTTAGATAAATATGGATTTGGGTTGAACAGTCCAACCATTTTTGGGGATGATTTTTGAGGGCATAGCCCAAAAAATATCATGGGCCAAGGGGTATGAGGGTTTCCTTCTAGATATCATATTTTTTTATACAATCAACAATAAAAATGAAAAATGTCCCAGATAATTTTCTAAAAATGATATTTTATCATTTAAAAAACTAGTTTACATTATTTATGAGCAAGTATTACTATCAATGAGATTTAATTTATTTTATTAAAATAAAATTATTCATGATTTATAAATTAACCATAATAACTACACGCATTATCTTTTTATTTTTCTAATAAAAAAATGAAATATATTTATCAATAAGCAACATAATTTTTTTCTCCCATTTTTTGTAAAATTATTATTTTCAAAACCAGGGAAAAAGGAGGACCGCAATTTGGCGCTCATCCTTCCGGCACACACGAGGACCTGACGCTAACTACCTTACACGTGGGGTCCACTTTACCGTTAATCTCCCGGGGCACAAGCCCCTTTTATAGGCCCCACCCATCTAAACGGATAGTTTATAACGAGCGCGGAGAGAGAGAGAGAGAGAGAGAGAGAGAGAGAGATGGGGGAGGAAAGCATAGAGGTGGCTCCAGTAGCAGAGGCGGTGGAAGGGTCGCCGAAGGTGGTGGCGAACGTGAAAGATGAGACGGCGACGGTGTCACGAAGCAGGAAGAACAGAATCCAGGTCTCCAGCAGCAAGAGGCCTCTCTATTTCTACGTCAACCTGGCCAAGGTAAGACGGCTCCATCTCTCTGTTTGATTTCCAGTTTCTAAGGAGGTTCTTGCGTTCAATTGCCAGACCTTGTTCTCCGACTTGGTTCACAAATACGGGACGGGATTAGGTTTTGGTTTGGTTTGGATTAAGTTCCAAGAGAGTTCTCTGTTTCTTTCCAATTCAAAATCCACGATAAATCTCTGGATCTGTGTTTATGATTGGATGTTCGCTGATCTCTAAGATTACGAGGTTTTAATTCTGCAGAGCACCTTTCTGTTCCATTTCCAGTTTCTACGGAGGCTCTTGTGTTCGATTGCTAGACCTTGTTCTCCGACTTGATTAACGAATGCGGGATGGGATTAGGTTTTGGTTTGGTTCGGATTATGTTCTAATAGAGGTCTCTGTTTCTTTCCAATTCAAAATCCTCGGGGGATATCTGGATCTGTGTTAACGACTGGACGTTTGTTGACCGCTACGACTTCGAGATTTTAATTCTGCAGAGCACCTCTCTGCTCGATTTCAAGTTTCTTGTGTTCGACTGCGAGACCTTGTTCTCCGACTTGATTCACGAATGCAGGATGGGATAAGGTTTTTGTTGGGTTGGATCAAGTTCTAGGAGAGTTCTCTGTTTCTTTCCAATTCAAAATCCACGATAAATCCCTGGATATGTATTTATGATTACTTGTTTGCTGATGGCGGCGAGGTTTGATTCTGCAGAGGATCATGCAGCAGCACAATGAGGTCGTGCTCTCTGCTCTTGGCATGGGTAATGACTCTCCCTGATTCCCGCCATCTTCACCATTCAAAATTTGGGCCATCTCTTCTCTGGATAACCGGATGATTTCATCCTCCTGCTAGCTTTTTCTGGCTGTTGATCCCTTTTGATAGATTTCTAACTTCCTCCGGAGAAATCGGATGTCTCCGACGATTAAACTAATTTCATGTTGGTTTTCATTCCAGCGATCGGCACAGTCGTCACAATCGCCGAGATCCTCAAGAACACGGGATTGGCCACGGAGAAGAGTAAGCTTCAGCCGATCGCACCATTTCTCACGCATTCCTCGGACAAGAACACCTCACTAATCGCCATCGCCTTCCCCCGATCAGGTATTCTGACATCAACAGTGGACGCGAAGGACGAAACCAGGGGGCGCCACATCCAGAAGGCCAAGGTCTGAAGAATCCTCCCCCTCCTTCCCTGGTTCATCCGTGATTCCAGTCTCCTTGCTCGTCGTGCAGATTGAGATTCTGCTAGGCAAGAGCGAGAACTTCAACAGTCTGATTCAGAAGAACAACCAGCCGAAGACGGCGGGAGAGGAGGATTACAAAGACTGACGAAGATCCCATTTTCCATGGAGAGATCTTCCTCATGCTCCAGGTTTTCATCACCACACTCGGTTCCCTAGGATTGATTATGTTCTGATTGATCTCGATTGAGAAAACGTAAATCCGGATCGTATTCTGGATGATCATCTTCCACATTAATGTACCAAGATTCGATGATCAAAACTAAGATTATCACTCAGTCCGAAGATTACCAAAATTTTATCTTTTCCATATGATCCCATGAAACCTGCCACTGATTCGAATTGCAATGTAACCAGCCGAGAAATGTTTTTGGAATACAGATGGGCAAGATCAGTACATCTCATTTTATGTGGTAATCATATTGGTGCGATCGGATTTCTACGATCTAAGAAAATGTACCGAAAAACAAAGAAATAATATAAAAACTATTAACCTGGATTGACATACGCGGGTGGAACCCATAGATATATATAAAAAATTATGATTTGAACGAAACACTAACGACGGATTGCTTGCCCACTAACAATTCCCTCAAGATACGTATAGACTTCCCCTTCATGGTGTCCAATTTACATCAAAATCCCCAAGAACAGACCACCATCTGACCCCCTCTCAGGCCTTCCCCGCCCGGGTCCGCTTCGCGGGAATAGCCTTCTTCGCCGGCGACTTACCGCTGGCGACATTTTTGCTGGCCAATGATGCCCTCCGCGCGGAGGTCGCCGGAACCTTCTTCCCCGGAGAATCCTTACCGGATGTCCTCGCCACCTTCGCCGGCCGGCCCTTCGATCTACTGGCAGGAGCAGCCGCCGCCTTCACCTTCACGCCGGGGGGCCTACCCACCTTCGGCTTTGCAGCGGCGACAGAAGCTTTCACCTTGAGCTTTGAAGTGGCGGCGGAAGCTTTCACCTTGAGCTTTGCAGCGGCGGCGGAAGCTTTTCCCTTCGGCTTTGCAGCGGAAGCGGAAACTTTCACCTTCGGCTTTGCAGCGGAGGCGGAAACTTTCACCTTCGGCTTTGCAGTGGTGGCGGAAACTTTCACCTTCGGTTTTGCAGCGGCAGCAGAAGCTTTCACCTTCAGCTTTGAAGCAGCGGCGTCGCCGGCTGCGGCGGCGGAGGAGGGGGGAAGCTTGTAGGAGTACTTCACCTTGGTGAGCTTGCCGGCGGCGGTGAACCTCCTCAGCTGGACGAGGAGGAGCTTTCTGAAGTTGGAAGGGAGGTTTCCCCTGTGCTTCTCCTCGATGAACTTGGAGATGGCGTACTGGCTGGACCCAGTTCGCTCCTTCAGCGCATGGATCGCCTCCCTCGCCATCTGCCACAGAGGAAAATATCAAATCCGCCACCAGATCAGAACCTCCCGCCATCGGAGCTGACGGCGGCGCCGCCATGGAAAGGCCCGGAGAAAACCAACCTCGAGGTAGGGAGGATGAGCGGGGGCCGCGCGGGCCTTCTTCACCTTCTCCTCTGCGAAAGACACTGCCTTGGACTTCATCTTCTCGGGCGGCGGCGGCGGCGGATCAGCTAGACACGGCGGTGCCCGGCGGAGCAGCGGCGGCGGGGGATGGAGGGAGATGAAGAGGCCGGTGGGGTGGTACTTGTACTCCGCGCGGAAGGGAGAGTGAGAGCAGTTCTAGATTCTGATTGGTCCGTTGGCTCAAACAGGGATCTTTCACCGCCGCGCAGGAACTTTGAATCTAGACCTTAGGATTGGCCACTATCGACGGCTAGGAGAGCCCCCGAGGGTTCGGCTCGGATAGGCGGAGGACGGGTAGTGGGTGGGTTCCGGTCTGCTGTGCCTCCGGGTTCAGGATACGCTGAATCTTCTTCGATTAATGCAAATCCCCTTTTGAGCGGGTGGGTCCCCTCATGGGACCGATGAAGCCATGAGTGGACGGAATTGGGCACCAGGTCCTCGACCGATCTGGTCTGATCTGATCTGATCTGATCGAGTGTGTCCCTCATTCATTTCTAAAGGTATGGGTATTACCCAAAGTAGAAAATCTGAGCCGTTATCTAGAGGGATCAGCTATCGATTGGCCATTTGATAAGAACATCTTAAAATTATGATCATCAAATGGTTATTATCATGATTTCGAGGAAATTTCTTGCGATTCAATTTTACCCAAGAATTCAATTATTCATGGATCACATATTTACTTCCAATATGACAATTTAGAAAAAGGCATTCATCTTCAAATTGAGATTTGAAAAATAAATAGGAAAATCCAATTTTCTAATTATAACCTGGTTTCGACATAAGAAGTGCATGAACACAGATCATATCCTACCATAGATATCATCTAAACATATGTTGAGAATAAATATATTTATTATTTTTGCAAGAGAGAGAGAGTGCTACCAATTTGTAAACAGATGTCTTAGATGAGTCTAATGTCTAACAAGAAATTGTATTCAGGAGTTAATATTCAAGGCCTCCATCTCCAAATTAAAATTTGTAGACATCTCACCTTTAATGAATATAAATACTTTTCCAAGCAGATGAAGCATAGAGTGAACTATAGACATTCTAAATAAGGGATACCACATAATGGTTACAAGAGAGACTTAAATCACCTAACATCTACATTGATTCTTATTGATTGTCATAGAGCACAAGTGCTTTGTTAGAACCATGTCACCTAGAATCATGAATCCTAGTTTCAATCAAAAATTATATGTCTAAAAATCATAGAATGTTCTAGGAATGAAACAAATATTCCATAACCATATCGGGTCAAAATTTCAGGCTTTTTTGACGTCCCATGAGGACCCAGCCCTCATTAGAGCATAACCTTGGATCAACAAGGTTTGGGTTAACCTATTGACATCTTAAGTCAAGGGTGAATCATTTTATGTGAGTAGACTATCAAAATGGAATCCTTCCACAGATTTCTTTCATCATTGAAAAGTGTGAGGAAAAAATATTCTACATTTTGGAAAAATATCCATAAAAATTGAAACATTTTAAATAATGAACCAATAAGAACATTGTTATTGAGCCATAAAGTATCCCACTCATTTTCATTAGTATTGTGTAGAACAAGAAGACATCAAGCATAGGAAGCATATACGTACATTAGATTATAGTGAGAGGCTTCATAATAATAACATGCCACAAATCTTAATATCATCTTATAGTTTTCACCCCATTTTCCCCAAGAAGATGGCCTAAGTATGATGAAACTCAAAAGATGGTGAAAACTTAGTAAATAATTATCACCTATATTGTACCATTATTGCACAAAAGAGCTACATCTCATTTGATTCAAGAAATAATAGCATTATGCTCTCAAATAGTCATTGACAAGAGGACAAACTACCACACGATTTATCAACAACCAATGTCTCCATATTACCACTCTCAACATTCTCTCAATAAGTCCTTGAAACTAATAGATCATCTAGAAAGAGCCTCTATGTAGACCAATTTTTTAACCTGGAAAAAATGTGTTTTTCTACTTTGAATATAGAAAAAGTAGAATTTTCATTTAGGCAAACTAATTAATGTGGTAAGCATCTATTCTAACTATATTTATCATTTCAATTGTGAACACTAAAAAATGAATTAAAAAATTTATATTGAATAAAGTAGAGTCTTAGAGTCTTACTATTATTTAGTTTCTAGATATATATGAGATTTTCTACATACATTATGTTCTCTCATATACTAATTTTGGTCATGTTTCATCCCTTTTAATCTCATTATAGCTACCACTTCAATTATAAGTATCACCCTAAGGTCCCAAGATCATGCACTTTTAGATTAATTAGCATTCAATCACTACATAACATGTTTAATCTTCAACTTTCAATTGAGATTTTGTGTTATATATAAGAAGCACAAGAGATTACTATGATTAAACATAGAAACACACACAAATGTATATTAGTATTGACAAGTCTTAATTATCATGAGTTAATAATTAATAAATAATATATTTTTAGTATTAACTCATGATAAATAGACTTATATTTATGTTAAATTATGAAAAGTGATTTTTAATTAATTAATATAATTTTTTAGCTAATTATATAATTTTCTATGAATTTATATAATTTTTATAATCCTATTTTTGAGATAAATGAAGAAAAAGAAATTAAAATAAAAATATAGCAACAAAGGGGGACCCACCGACTAATTGGGCCCACAAGCAAGTCAAAAGCGCAATCAGAAAGAGCCGCGTGTAGGAGCTCGAGCGGCTACGATTGATGAGGGCACATGTGCACCACTCCCTTTCCACATCACCAATGGCCAATTGACTGTGGGACAAGAAGTAGTCGTACATGTAGGAAAAAGGGACTCATTACTTGTAAATGTGATATTATTCTATATTTACTCAAAACTTCTATGCACAAGTAATGTGAGACTAAACTCATGTCACATCTTCCTTCAAAAGGCTTCAAAGATTTTAATACTTAAATTACTTCTTAGTTATAATAGAGATATACTATGATGACATCACTTGATAATGATATTAAAATATTTATTTCAATCTTTCACATGTAGGCAAGCAACCTACGTAGGTTCGAATCCTCCTAGAGCCAAAACTTGTATTTTTATTTGATTATCGCATTTTTTATGTAGATCATCGGTGAAGAATTAAGCTATTATAATCGCTAGATCATTGACGAAAATCTTATCAACGTGATTCACAGAGTATTGTTACTAAAATTGTTGAATGATTCATGATAAAAGGATCACGAATTCATTGAGTAAATCATCTCTGATTAATCAAAGAATAAGCCGTCATCGAGAACATGACAATCTGTCAAGAAACAAGTCGTCACCTCTTGAGAGCATACCAAATGCAATGAAGAGCCTTCTCTTGTTGCGTAAACTTGAGGATAAAGCTCCCTAACACACACCCCACCTCCATCTAGCTCTTCTCTATTGGGTGACAGCCGCCTGAGAGTCACAAAGTCGCAGTTTTTCTGTTCCACCGAGTGACAGTTGTTGGAGATGATTCGACGACTCATTTCCTTGATCTCTAGACTTCACAAGGAGATCTAGAGATTACCCACGTCATCTTTGTCTAAGAAAATCCTTTGAGGCTGTGGACACTGCATGATGATTCTCTCAAATGCTCAAGATTCTAATGCATCACTAACACATCATCGTCATAACACCGAAACTTTATTTTTCTACTTTCAACTTAATTTTCACTTCATTTAGTGATAATTTGTGTGATTTAAATTTACCAAGCTATACTTCATTTAATTACGATTCTTTTAGTTTTTATAGATCTTAATTTGATGAATTAAATCGTCTGTAATCACTTAAGTAAAAATCACCAAGTGGAACTCTGTTTCTACTCGATTCGCGTTCGTCGGGCGTTGACGTCATTCTGACATCCGCACCCTTATTTTCATTTTTTGTAAATTTTAATTATATTTAATTTTTACCTCTTAGTATAAAATTTATAAAAAATTATATTCTTTGAGAAAAGTTTTAAAAAATTATCCGATATTATATTATATTCTTGTGATTGATTTGAAAAATTACTACTATTTTTGGAAATTTTATTGAATCATAATTAATATATTTGTTCAAAAATACTTTTAAATATGTGAAAATTAGTATTTTCTAGTTTTATAAATTTTAAATTTATGTGATTTACTATACAACGACTAAGTCACATTAAGTATATTAATAATTCATTGAACATTAGAATCACTATTGAGTTGACTATGTTCTTGATAATACATGATATTTTTGTCATAAAGTAAAATCGAGGTAATCACCATATTACTCTATTAAAATTAATTGACAATCAGTCATATTTTGTTTTTTGAAGCTTTCATATTTTTGACAAATTTTGACCATAAAAATGGGGATCGTGGTGAGAATCTAGTTAACCTTCTTCCATTCTGCCCTATTTTCTCTCTGCTCTCTCCTACTCTCTTCCCTCTCCCACTTTCTTCTCCCTCTCTGCTCTCTTCCGCTCTCTTTTCTCTTTCTCTCTCTCTCTCTACTCTCTTCCGTTCTCTTCTCTCTCTCTCTGCTCTCTCCCGCTCTCTTCCCTATTTCCGCTCTCTGCCGCTCTCCTCTCTCTCTCTCTCTCTCTCTCTGTTTTTCTCCCATTCTGCCCTATTTTCTCTCTGCTCTCTCCCGCTCTCTTCCCTATTTCCGCTCTCTTCCGCTCTCCTCTCTCTCTCTCTTTTTCTCCCATTCTGCCCTATTTTCTCTCTGTTCTCTCCCGCTCTCTTCCCTCTCTCCGCACTCTCCCGCTCTCCTCTCTCTGCTCTTCCGTTCTGCTCTCTTTATTTTTTTGACCTCTCGCTATTCTCTCTATTCTCCCTGCCCTCTCTCTCTTTCATCTATCTCTTTTTCTCTATTCACTCTTGCTCTCTTCTATCTCTCTACCCTCTCCCGCTCTTCTCTCTCTCTTCGTTCTTTCCAACTTTGCTCTCTTTCTCTCTACTCCCTTTTTCCACTCTCTTTCCGCCCTCTCTCTCCATGTTTGCTCTCTCTCTCTCTGCCCCTCTCTCTAT